ATAGATGGCTCTGATGTCAGTTTACTAACTCTGGTTATGTGCTCCGAATATATTTTAATAAATCAAATCGGCAGAGGAAAATTCACTAATTACTCAAAATCTGCGATTAATTTATGAACTTTTATAATTGCATCGTAAAGCCAGATCCTTTAAGAACTTTCCAATATATTTTTCGATATAAATTTGTTCCAAATTAATTAATTATTAATTATTATTCTACGGAGTTGTCGAATTGTTTGAATTGTTGTCGAAGACGCCATTGGTTTTTCATTAATTACTATCCTCTACGCAATTAATTTATGAAACTTTATGCACTCATTACAAAGACAATGCTCTTGCGAATCTTCTCATATAACTTTTGATCACATTTTGCTTCTAGTTTCGTTTAGTATTATTTATTTTCACGGAAGATCGTGATGGTCGTCGATACGAAATCATGGACGCCATCAAATAATAATTAATAAATAACTAATTCGTAACAAATTATGTACGAAAATTTCATAAGAATGTTGCTCAAAGTTTCAGCTTTGCAATGAAATTATAAAAGTTCATAAATTAATTACGGAAATTGGTTAATTTATTAACTTTTCACCATCGGATCCCCCTATCCATTTCTATCCCCTCTCTGCCATTGTCTGTCACGTGACGAGCTATTCGACGACCTCCTTGCCTATTCTATGTTCCTATCACTTTTCTGACTTTTTGGTCCTAAATCATAGATGGCGCTGATCGTAGGCGGTAAAATTTTTATTCGAACTAAATACCTCTCCTGGTTATGAGCTCTCTTATACATCTTAATAAATCAATTCGGCAGTAGAAAATTAATAAATTTCGAAGTTTTTGTAATTAATTCGTGAACATTTATAGCTGCACGGCAAAGTTAGAATTATAGGCAACATTCTTATACAATGTTTAATTTAATAATTAATACTTACATGAGCCATAGATTTTGCATTTCCTGTATGTAATAATTATTTATATTTTTATGTTCTTTCTGTAGTAAATAAAATTACTATAGAAACGTGGTTTTCTTGCGTAATATTCTTATTATTTTGTAATAAATATATACCAGCATAATAAACGTAAAAAATAAATTTTTTTTATTAAGAAATTTTATTTACAATTGTTTATTTACAATGTTTTCATAGGCGAAAAATGAATACAAAATAAAAAATAGATTGAAAAAAACTATCAACTATAGTGGGGAAACGAACCCCGGTCCCCCAGCACAGGAAATCTGGGCTGTCGTCGTTAGGCGACGACTCTAAGTACTTGAAAACTAGCGGAAATAAATCTATAATTGCAGAGGTAATAAAACTTTAATCGTAAATAACTCTAAAACTATTGAGTAGTTGCCGCTATAATGATATATTTTCTTAAACTGCATGACGATATCTACAGATCTGCAAAGTTTCTACTAAATTGGTGACCCGAAGGACTTGCACTTTCCTTGTGAGGCAAAAACATCGGCGAAAAGTAACCTCGAGCAGGTTACGACACGACCGAGTTTGTATAGATTGGACTCTACGGACCACGGCTCTCACCCGTTATACTCGTGATATAAGTTTGATTCGATTTACCATAAATATCGCACGATATTGTAGGCGAAGGAATTACATAGTATTATGATTATAAATATATAGTTTAAACATATCGCCATTTGTCAATTAAGATGGTGGATAGTGAACGGAACAAGGTGTACATATCACGACCAATGGCATTCTTGAAACATTGTAAGAAAAAACTGTGATCGAACGACAGTCGACGCCAGGATGGAAGACCTGAAGGATAAAATCGAAAGGTTAAGCCACGGATATGCGCAAGGGACAATGCAGCATTGGAGAGTGGAAGGAAAAAAAGAGAAAAAGAAATCAGGATCAACCTTTCTTTACGCTTCTTTGTTTTGTCTTTGACACATCTTCTACCACCGTCTTCTTAAGAGGGTACAAATCCGGTCGAGTGTGAGGGTTGCAAGTGACAGCTGGAACTGTTATACCACAACGGCTGAATACTATTCGATTCCCGGTGAAACAAGAGGGACAAATTACTTCCGTTGCTTCGTTAAAATTAATCGACAAACGTACGGTTGTTTGAAACGTCGTTCAGTCTAATGACGCACTAAAGTAAACATGCCCGCTTTCTGTGAACAACTTGTCGAACTAAAATGTGCCTGAAATTCAAATCGAGGATAAGGACATATACGTGACAATTTATCGAATAAGTCAGGTATATGATTCGTATAAGCTTATTTATTTCTCGCTTATAAATCGTATATAAATAAAAGCTTCAATCTTACTATATACACACTAGAATAAAAAAAAGTCTTCGACATTTCGTATATAGTGAATGAAAGAATATTATCCCAACCAAGGTTTCACCTCGCAAGTGAAATAACGACCAGCGTCAATAACCACATATGAAGGACCTTTTAGAGGGATAAGGGAATCGGCAGTTTAACATCGACCAAACTGCATCGATCTTGACAAGGGAATCGTTGGTCCAAACCATATACGATATCTTCAAACTGGCACACAGACGATATATACAGTTAATCGTTCAAGATTCTGTATGTGGTAACATTTTTTCTAACTCGCGTAAAATCTGTGTAATGTGTTGCATTAATTTGAAACCAGTCATCGTAACTGGTCGTAATGTTTTACTGTAACACTGTTTGTACAAATTGGTAAGTGCTTCCGATCTGCAACATGAACGTTGATGAAACACCCTTCATAAGGATATCAAGAATATTATAATCTAAATGTACTTACTCTTTTTTATTACTGTTACTATTCTTGGTAACAAATAATTTCGTCAATGACCTTAAAATGAATTGCAACCGCTGTTCCAGCAATACCACTAAACTCTCTTCATCCTCTATTAATTTTTGTTCATCGATCCCTTTTCCTTCGATGTTTTCCTTTTCCACTTTATTACTAACAGTATTTGCATTCTCAACTTTCTGTTTCTGAGAATTATTTCTGTCGCACAATATATCTATAATGGGTCTGCATTGTAGAATTAACTGAATTCCATTCTGATATGCTTTCAATTTGCCATGAAAAGTTGTCGCACCTGGAACGCAGTGTTAATTTGAGAAGAGATATTAAAGCAACATCAGCCAAATTAAATTAAACTGAAACACATACAACGCGCTTGATGTTCAGCTAAGGCTACTCTTTCCATTTGTACAGTTAGAAATTCCACGGTTTGCTCCAAAGCTAACAAAAGCTTTGCAGCTTTATCATAATACAGCTTGCATAACTGTAAACTTGTTTTTCTTTTCATATTATCCGTATCTGGTTCGTGTTCCCTGTATACACGATGATATAAAGATGCAAGTCGATGTTGAATAGTTGCAGCGCGAAATTGATAGACTGGTTGTCTTGGTCCAGCCGTTTCGATATCACAATGCTTCAAAGCTTTCTGCAGAATATCGACAACTTCTCGTTCCAATTCCTCTTCGGTCTAAAATTACAACGTGATATACAACAGATTGGAAAAAATACATGAAATTATAAAAAAATGTATAAACATACTTTGCATCCACTCGTAGGATAATCTTGTAATAATGTAGCCATAGTAAACAAAGTAGTAGACAGATCCCATGTAATAGTATCCCAAATCACAGGGTTTGATTTTCTCGACCCCAAGACCTGCAATGCTTTCTGGTAACTCGCGAGCGCTTTATTGTAGAAGTAACGTTCTTGAGTGTTTTGCTTAACGTGCATGTGTGCACGAAGCCGCATGAGTCTTCCTGTATTTGAGTGTAAAAGTGCTAAGTTTGCTTCGTCGTGAACAGTTTCGAACGCTTTCACGCCTGCTTCTAAATGAGTTAGCGAGCGGTTAAGCAATACTGTTACCTCATCCAAGGAGCTTGATGTTTCTTCTCCTAAGTTCTCTTGTTGATACCGTGCTATAAAGATGGTATGTTTTCTTTTACATTTAATTATACATATTTTTTAAATAGTAAAATCTATAAAAATACTTACTTCCACCTTGATTCATGTAAAGTACGCCTAACTCGTTATGAATATTTCCTAGTCGCCTTAAGAGATTGTTTCTATCCATATCCAATGGTTCTAACGATAACGCTTTTTCGTAGCACTTATACGATGCTACTAAGGTAGATTCTAAAGTTTCTAAATGCTGTGGCAGCAATTCAGCACTATCTAGAAATCAAAAAAATTTTAGTGGCGAGCTATATCAAGACAATTTTTTACGTATCTTTAGATAAAAACATACTGATGTCCAAGTCTTCCATTCTACAAATTTCTTCAACAATTCTCTCTTCAATTTCGTTCTTCATTTTGTAATCCTGCCTATGTCTTTCGACATTACACCAATCTTGTACAGCCATAAAACAACAGTCACCGGCACGACCTAATAAATAGCTTACCGACTTATCGTTCCGTATCCCGCAAAATATCTCTAATATCTTTTGGCAACGTAAAACTGCTAACATATATCTCAACGAAGCTCCGTAATTTCTATTGACATATTCGTTCTCAGCGAGCACAGCAAAAATTAACAAAGCCTTTTCGTATAACAAAGTTTTTAAATGTACGTTCCAGCTGATATTATCGCTCTTTTGTGGTGCTTGCCACGTTGGTAAAGTTTCGGTTTTAAGTTTACATAGTAGTGCTTTGGCTTCAGATTCTTGAGGTTCCACTTTTGTAATAATAACTTTATCGTATTTCTTCATCTTCTTTTGTCTCAACTTCTTTTTATGTGTAGGGCTATTATTCAGGGAACTCATTTCAGATTCGACCTCTTTTCTATCATCTTTCAAGGAGATGTAAGGCATGGGAATTGCTTGGAAAGGTTTAGCCATGGTCAAATGATTTTCTTCGTATTCTCTCTTTACTTTTTCTTTCTCTTTCTCTTTCGTTTCTTCTTCTTCGAAATTATCGTCCATTGGAAAATACTGTAAACAATCCAGCCCGTAACAAACATGCTCTAAAGCGGCTAAACATCTTTCTTCAATACTGCCCGAAATTGGGGGTGGTTTATATTTGGGTTCTTCGCATTCCGCGTATTCTTTAACTAAAAATACGTATTCATTAAGTTAATCGTTTTAAGATTAAAAATAACAATGTACTTGAAATAAATGTTTGACTTACTATTAGCTAATGTTAAAGACTTAATGGCAGCTTCTTCTGTTTCTTCTTCCAAATCCTTGTCATTTTCATGGTTTATGCTGGATTCACTTTGTGTATCCTCTTCATCACTCTGATCTAATAATCCTGGGCTAGCAGGGTCTGTATCAGACGGTATATAAAGGTCAGACAGCATAAAGTGTGCGGATGTTACAATCTGTGGATACTTTTCCTTAGTTAATAACTGTATACAATTTTTCAATAACATCCTAATAGTACCCTGTTGTCTATGATAATCAGAAGAATATTTCATATTACGAGCGACTCTATAGAGTAACATAGCAACAGGTACAGTGAATGGATTCTGGCCCTTTTCATCCGATACATCATTACACAGAGAAGTTAAATCGTATAACTTTACAACATCGTCATCTTTGCCTTTGAACAACCAATAAGTATGCCCAGCCTTGGTTGCATTGTTCTTTAAGAAACTCAAAATGTTTTGTGCAACATCCCTGATAACTTTAGGACTAAATTTGGAGTGATCCATATTAGGAAGATCTTCAGTCTTGATCAGTTCATACTTTTGCACAATACCATCCAAATGATAACACATTACCACTTCTGGTACATTACACATTAAGTTATCTAACCAATAATCTATACCGGTTAATACATTAATGGGTTTAGTCATATCCCTCAATCTGAGACTTATGCACGGATGAGTTTGACCACCAAATATTGGCATATCGGTACCAATAAGCATCTGTATATTTTCAAAAGTCCAGACAATGTTCCTCGCAAAATTGTGATTATAATTTGGATCTGGAACCTTCTCTTCTTGAGAAGGTTCTGGTAAACATGGTTCCAATGTTTTCACAGGTAATTGTGGTTTAATATGTTGCTCTTTGTTATCTGCTACTACTATTGAATGATACAAAAACTTGGATACCAAGTTTATTTGCTGCAAAGTATTTCGATTGTTTGTCTTGTGAAACAAACATTTTTCCTTGTCTCCTAGATTTTGGAAAATGTGTTCATAAAAGAATTTCTTTAGCCATTCCCAGTCACTTTCTGCTTGCCTAAGCAAGTATTTATGGATATCAAAGTCATCTAGCAATAGAGTATTTTCTATTCTGTGAACCACCATCGATATGACTCCATGATTATAAGGCAATTTTAGCAGCTTTTTTATGTTTTCTGCATCCGATACAACATCAACCTCCCCCACGCAATCAGGGAACATATGTGCCATGCGAAAACTAGAAAAACCAGAGGTCTTGGACCAGACACTCTGAAGGCCATAGCTCTCTGCAGAACTGCTGAGCCAGTTGCTCGGTGGTAAATTTAAATCTGTATTGCACTGTAACTGAGCATAGGTTGCGGGTGTTTGAACAGCCGAGTATTTTACAACGGCGGTAGACTTGACTGGTTTCTTGGGTGAATCAGAGGGTATGGCCACAAGCATAGGCTTGACCTAAAATTAAATCACATGAATACGTGACATTGAAACATCGCGTTTATGTCTAACGAATGTATCGATAGTTTGATTGTATAGTAAATAAAATTAGTAACGGATCCTTTACGTTTGTGAACAATGGCATGACCGAGTATTTCTAATATCGAGCAAAAAAGACTCTGGATAAAATAACGGTATAAAAATAAACTAATCACTGCTACTAATCGAACAAAATATTACTTACTGCATCACATTTCGCATCTGCATTTTCTGACATGTTTAATTTCGAATGGTGACACTTGCATCTCACAAAACTTGTCGCTCGATTCCCAAATTTCTAGAAGGAACCAGAGTGTATCGAGACCTCAACCGCTCGCATAACGCATAACCACTGATTATGCGATACACGCAGGTAGGCTGCAACGTTATAGAAACAGCTTCCTACCTTACCAACTTTACTCTGCATTATCAGCTGAAAAGAGTATCAAGGTTCCTTGCTTCGACGGTAACATTGTCGGCGAATAATAAATTAATTAGCCTAACCATGTTAGCGCAATTATTTAATTTCCACTCGTTACGGAATAGAAATAAAAGAGCACGATGAAAAGGAATACGTATAAAAGAAAATCTGGAATAACGAAGAAGGACATAAACGAAACCCACGATCTCTTTTTGTAAGCGGTTTACATCGAACTTTTATTCATATAGCTAAACTGTTCGCGAAAGTTGCGAAGCAGTGAGACATAACCGAGAGATTATAACGGCAAAATGAAGCCCGCGAAGAGCATCGATCAGTATAGAGTCGAAAGCGTAGTTTGTTCACTCGTCTTACGACAAAGAAACAAAGCATACCCGTATCCCCTGGTCAGTATAGTAGCACGAAAAGGTTAGCAACGACGCGAGCAGAAAAGCACGCGTTTATCCGCGTCGCTGAATGGATTCAGAAGCCCTGGAGGAACTTGACGTCACTGGTACCGCGTTCCTATATAAGATCGTGATCGCTACCCTCTCGACTCAGTCGACGACAGTGGTGACACGATCGGTCGAACTTGTTTGCGTTCAACTCTGATATGGTGATGAATTTCAAGGTGTACAAGAAATGCTCGCCCAACGGCAAGATCTCTCTGTACCTGGGCAGGAGAGACTACATCGATTATCTGTCCGGCATCGAATCGATCGACGGAGTTATACTGTTGGATCAGGACTACGTAGACACCGGTAGGAAGATATGGGGCCAGCTGGTGTGCAGCTTCCGCTATGGCCGAGAAGAGGACGAGGTGATGGGCCTGAATTTCCAGAAGGATCTCTACCTGGTCTCGGAACAGCTGTTCCCGACCACCAAGAAGCTCGAGGATAATCTGACCAGGCTCCAGGAACGATTGCTCCGAAAACTAGGACCGAACGCGTTCCCGTTCACCTTCAAGTTCCCTCAGAGCGCTCCATCCAGCGTGACCCTTCAACCTGGAGAGGACGAGGCGGGAGAGCCTTGCGGGGTGAACTACTACGTGAAGATCTATTCCGGGGATATGGAGACCGACATCACCCACAAGAGGAGCACCGTGACGATGGGTATCAGGAAGATCCAGTACGCGCCCACGAAGCAAGGTCGACAGCCTTGCACCGTGGTTCGAAAGGACTTTCTGCTCAGCCCTGGTGATCTGGAACTCGAGGTAACCCTGGACAAGCAACTGTACCATCACGGTGAGAGGATAGCCGTGAACGTGTGCGTGAGGAACAATAGCAACAAGGTCGTGAAGAAGATCAAGGCGCTGGTGCAGCAGGGTATCGACGTGGTGATCTTCCAGAACGGCCAATTCAGGACGGTGATCGACGCGGTGGAGACGCAAGACGGCTGTCCCATTAATCCAGGCTCGAATCTGACCAAGGTAATATACCTGAAGCCCGAGTTGGAGAACAACAAGCATCGCAGAGGCATCGCATTGGACGGCCGGCTTAAGAGAGAAGAAAGCGAATTGGCATCCAGCACTCTGCTGCTCTCACCGGATGTCCGCGATTCCTTTGGCATCGTGGTCTCCTATGCCGTGAAGGTGAAGCTGTATCTAGGAGCCCTGAGCGGCGAGTTGTCCGCGGAGCTACCGTTCATCCTGATGCGACCCAAGCCCGTGGATCGGATCAAGGTGGTGAACGCGGACGACTTGGAGGTGGAGGACACGACGGAGGAGAACGTGAAGCCGATCAGCAGTTAGAGGCCTAAGGGACCTAAGGGATCGTGCATCCGGGCGTCCTCTGGCTAGCGTTCGACCGCAGGATGTGGACCCCCGGATGGGTGGAAGGCGTAACATCTCGGGAAGCAAACGTTCTCTTAACGCTCTCTGTATCGCGCTATTTTCTATCTATCCCGGTGACGTACTTCGACTTTCGCGAGGTTTCGAACGGTACTAATCACCGTCACCGGATGCAATAAATTATCTCGTATAATCGCAATAGAGATTAGGGACGACGATGTACTCGGAACGCGGAGATTGGACGACGATAGCCCGATCGAGATGGAATCTTGGCGACGATACAAGCGTCAAAGCGAATGGACCAGCGTGTACACACGAAGTGGGTTAACGATTCTAGGAATCCGATGCTATCGATCACTACTGGAAGCTAGACGAAAGTGAATCGTCCGACATAATCGAAACGCGTTTCTCAGAAAAGTGCAATACGCGGATCATCGGCAGCAGTCGTTCGAATACGGTAGCGTCGAGTAATTGTCGAACTGTATAGAATAAAATATATGTACTGTGATAAAACATGCGCTTCGTGCCCCCTTCTTCACCCATTCCCCTAGCAGCTATTAAACAAAACGAATCGGCATTGCGTAAGGCGTTGGTAGCCTTTTAAAGTAACAGGCTTTCAGATTTAACTTACGATCCTTGGCAAATAAAAAGACGTTAAACACTGGCAAGAAGTAATTATATTACCGACACGTAATGGCATCGACCATGGAACTCGTACCGGCGTAACAAAGGTAAAATAGAGAAAGCTCGGTCAATTTCGAAGTTTATCGTGGTCAGCTAGCTTCTTACGAGAGTAGTAAAGTCATAGTAAAGTCACGTCGCAAGACGCGGCGACTTTTTCACGGCTCTTCCGCGTTTCCTTTCTCCGCGGACGCTGAGATGCGTCCCGCGAGTCGTCGCGACGTCGTCCGACAAAAGCATCGTGTCGTCATCGAGACCACCGTCCGTTAATATCTCCGTCGCCGCGATTAATCGATCACGATTAATCGACCGCGAAAATCGAACATAACCTCCGTAACGACGAGTGAGAACCAGTAACGTATCGCGAGGTTCCCCCACCCCTCTGCGAGAAGGAACTTTCAACGAGTATTTTCGATCGCTTCGTTCGAACTAACAAGCAGAAATTAGTCGTTGGAGCTCGCAAGGGAGCGAACGAGAAGGTTAAGAAGGTAAATAAAAGATGACGGAAGAGGGAGATCGATAAGATCGGTGGGTAATCGTTACGCAATCGACTGGTTTCGGCCGTTCGATTTGGCGAAAAAGCAGCGCGGAGGACAAGGTCGAGTACGGTTGGATGACGCAACCAGTTCGGTTTGGCCTGGAAAAATAACACTGGCGTCTTCTGCGTCTCGAAACGCGACCGCGATCGATCGGTGCTCCCGAAGAATTATCCGCAATTTCGGACTGGGCGCGAGCGAGATGGAGACACGGGTTTGGCGAGAGGGTTAGAGAGAGAGGGAGGATCGCGGAGAACAAAGGTGGCGCTGGTGGAAAAAAGTCGGTTGAAAGAGGAGGACGCAGTAGTGTGGTCGGAGCCTATTTTCGCTGGAAGGTCGCAGGTATATCTGCCTGCGACAAATCGAAAGACACGACTCGCGATCCTGCTACGATTCTCGCGTGGAAGGTCCTGTGGCGAAGGGCAGAGCGTCGAGGTGCGCGGTGGGCGTTGGAGGAGCAGCAGCCAGCAGCAGCAGCAGCGGCAGCCAGGCATCGTGGTGGAACGAGGAACCGAAACGAACGTGGAGAGCAACGGAGATGGAGCTATTCGAGACAGCAGCTATGGAGGGAGAGAGGGCATCGCGATGGAGGGAGACGGCGCGGAGATAAAATTAGAAAGAGAGGTCAGAAAAATGGCGTGACGGAGAAAAGGGGAGAGTGAAAATCGAAGAAGAACGAAACGAACGGCGAGATAGCTCGCGAGCAGAGGGAGGCAGGAAGAAACGTAGAAACGGAGCAGCGACAGAGAGGAGACGAGAACGGAGAGGCCAGAGGCAACGAAGCACCGAGAGATCGAAGGAAGACGGAGAAAGAGGGCGATAGAAAGGAGCGAGAGGGAGACAGAGGTCGGGCGAGCGAAAGAGAAAGAGATAGCGGTGCGGCTGCAGAGAGAGAAGGAGGGAATAGTAGGGGGTTCGGTCGGCCGGCAGGCTTGGCTGGTGCGTCAGTCAGGCTCGAGACACCCGCGAGAACGGAGCGGTGGTTGCCTCCCTTATTCGGTACGTACGTTCGATGCGCCCCCTCCATCACCCCCCGGCCATCTAACAGGAGTCTCGTCTATCGAGGCAGTGTCGCGCAGAGTGTCGTACGAGTCGTATTGCTCCGCCTGTTCGCTTCCCTTTCGAATAATACGACGTCGGTGTTCCACCGTCTATTCGCAACCCTCGTGTTTCGGATTTGTGCCGCGTTCGGAGCAGCCGATCCTTGCTGGAGCTATCCGGACCGGTGGACGATCGAAACGACGACGTAAAGGGTAAGGAGGAGGAGGAGGCGGCGGTGGAAAGAGCCGGAGGTAGAGAAGAAGCTTCCGTAGGAGTTTCCTCGTCGATTACTACTTCGGGCGAATCCCCCAAGGAAGAACGAAGACAGTGGCTGATACGCTACGCTAGCGATCCAGTGAGTATACGTATACCTCGCAGAGCCTTGACTCTGCCCTCTTCTCTTTCTCTTCGTCTCTGTCCTTTCTCTCTCTCTCTCTCTCTCTCTCTCTCTCTCTCTCTCTCTCTTCTCTCGCTTCTCTGTGTCTCCCCTCTCTCTCTCTCTCTCTCTCTCTCTCTCTCTCTCTCCCCCTGCGTCCCTCCCTTTCGCTGTCTCTTCCCCCCTCTTCCCCGGCTGCGTTCCTTTTTTCTTCCCTTCGGATCCTTTTTTACACGGTCGATCCTCCGGTTATACGCGCGTCGCGTGGATTTTTCTGGTTGACGTGTGTCCCTCTGGCCGCGCGCAACAGACACCGGCGAAAACTCACCGATACGCGACGAGTTTCTCTTCTCTCGCGGCAGACGGTGGCATTGATTTCCTCCTCCCGTCCTCTCTCGCCGGCCGTTCGCCCTTCCCTTCCCTACGTACGCGCGATCGCGGCCTCTCGGGCCCTTAAAATCCAACGATTTGACCGAATTCGTGGAATAAACCCCGTCGTCCCGAGCTAACCCGTACCCCTGTACACGCGCGCGTGTACGTATCCAGCCTCTCTCGCGAGAGATACGACTCTCGACTCGGATCGGGAGAATATTTGCTTTTAAATGGCTCCGCCATGCCGAACCACTCCTGCGGGGGTCGCGGAACGTTTGTTTGCACGGTCGGCCGAGAAGGATCCTTCCTCCGATTCTCCGACTGCGATGGCGCGGCCGGAGACGTCGGGACGAAAAGCGCGCAAGCGGAGGAACGAGTTTCTCCGGCACGCTGCAGCGTAATTTCACGCGAAACTCTGGCAACCTTGAACGCGGCTGGAACTCGGTTCGAGGTTGGTCCCCGGACGGCGTTCAGGGGCGTCGAAACGCGGCCGGAGGTTTTAAGAGTACGATCACGAATTGCGCGGTTAAGCCTCTCCTCCACGTATCCCGGTATCGAGCGAAAACGCGACCGAGCCTCTAGAAACGCTCGATCCTCGTGACGCGCGCGCTATCGGGCGTCCGAGCAACGCGCGATTAAGATATCTCTATTTATAAACAGTCTACCGTGTATTTACACGTTAGAAACCATGGTTGCCCGTGTCTTCTCGCACGCGCCTCTGTTTACACGCGAGCTGTAAAAGCAAGAGTGTTTGCCTTCAACCGAACCGTTTGAATAGAGATCCCAGCAACGAATCCGGATCATGACCCCCCGAAAATTCCTCCTGCGATCTCTCCTTAGAGCGTGCACCTATTCCGGGAGACTGCCGGGCGGTGGTAACCCGTTCGATCACGTACGCGACGCCTTGTTTGTCCACGTCCGCGATAACAAATATCGGCGGGCGCATTCGGCCGATCCGATACATTTCGTTTAACTCGAGCAGCAGTTGAGGTAATACGTGTCCCCGAGCTTATCGGCCGGCTCGAAGGCTCGCGAGGCTGGAAATCGAGAAGCACGAATCGTCGACCTCGAACGGCCATGCTTTCATACGGTATTAGTCACACGTAGCCGACCGATGAATATTTCAACGTTACACCCTGCGCACCGTTTGCCCGTGCAAACGCACCACATTCCGCGTGTCGTTTTCCATTGCGAAACGCCGCGCAGCGCATTCGCGACAGACGGAACAGCGATCCGCTCGCGTCCACCCGCATCGATTTCACCTCGCGAGACACTTTTCCCGCTTCCATCTCTCGCTGTCAACAGACACTGTTGTCCCAGTTGCTGTCAAATGGCTTCCGTTACGACTTAACGACCAACGATCCTATCCCCCGCTTCCTCAGCCGCTCCACGCGACCTCCGCCGAATATCCCATCCATTTCGGTTCCTTTCCTATTCCTTTCTCCGTTTCCCGTTCGACTTTCCGCGACCTCCCCGCTCGTTCCCGCGCGACATGACGCGCGTTAGCATTGCAAATGCGTTTGGCGAGTGTCGGGACATCGTTTCGCTATCTGGAATGCCCGCGACGTTGAACCGGCAGCATTCCCTGGTCCGAGAGCGAATTCTTCGATACCAGCCTCCGCTGAGGTCTCCGAGTCGGTTGAATAATTCACGGTACCACCTCGGTCCTCGAACCGCGCGAGTCCTACGAGAGGAGAAAGTTAACGAGCACCTGGTCCACGAAGGGGATGATCCGGGCGCGGATGAGGCCAGGCACGGGCTCGGTTGCGTCGTCCAGGTGACCCGGAGCCTGGATTCAGGCTGCGGGTACTGCGCGTGCTGAAAACGTAGGCTGGGTGGCAGGAGGGTATAGGTGGCCAAGGGTGTAGCCGCTCCTGCTCGATGCGTTCGCCATCCTTCCTGCTCTCCCGGCGTCCTTCGAGTACCCTATCGCGCTCGTGACTCTCTCTCTCTCTCTCTCTCTCTCTCTTTCTCTCTTTCTCTTTCTCTCTCCTCTCTTCTTTGCCGGTTTATCTCGGGCCGCAAATTTCCCGCGAGTGTATAGGACAGACGAAGGTACGCCTGGCAGGGTGGAGGCTGAATTATCGGATAGCAGCTGCTATCGATGGGTCGAATATGAATTATCGAACGGGTCCAGAGCGACCGAGGGTGAACACGGGTTCACTCGAGGAGAGAGCGTCTCCGATCTCTAGCCTCTCTCGTACGTTGATCACCCGGAGCGCACTCCAGCCCATCGAGCACTGCCTGGACCCTTCGTCGAGTCAGCTGTATCGGCAACCTTCCCGATTATCCGTTATCGGGATCACCGGGAACGTGCCTGTCTCGGGGAAAATCGCAGCCAGGTGTCCTGGAGTTTCCGTTCACCGATTGTCTCAGAAGCGTTGAAATCGTAACGCGAAAGTTCCCGCGAGCGTGACAGCGGTCGATGAACCAAGCTAGACGACCTTATCGACCAGCCGAAGATGTAATTCCTCGGGTTGTGCCACCTCCTTTCGGCCGACCAAGCGTCTCGAGAGTTCGGATAAACGTGCCAATCGCGGAAGTCTGTCTGCACAGTCGGAGGGGAATTTTCGCGACCCGCGTGGGCGAGATTAACCCTCGCGGAAAGCGAGAGGGAACCGGCTCCTTCCTTTTCGACTTTCGTTTTCCGCGAGGCTAGCCGCGCTGAAAAGAAGTCGAACGTCAAAGGAAGGCTGCAGAAGGACGTGGCGCTTTTGTTCCACAGACGTCGTCGGGATGCTCGATATTGCGATACTCTGCTCTGCGTGTTCGTAGAAGCGTCAAGTGGCAGAATTCTACGCCATTTTCCACCGTTTACCATTGTTTTCGATCGTTTTCCATTGCTTTCCATCGTTTTTGATCATTTTCCACCGTTTTCCACGTCTACCGTCAACGAATTCGCAGCATCGCGATATTCCTCTCCGGGTGTTCGTAGAAGCGCCAATTGGCAGAATTTTGCGCCATTTTCCTCCGTTTTCCATTGTTTTTGGTCGTTTTCGACCATTTCCCAAGTCTACCACTGACGAATTCGCGTCATCAGAGACCAGTCTCGGGTTCGCGGAACCGCGATATGTAAACAGCCGCGTTAATTCGCGCCGGCCAATTATAGATGGATATGCACCTATGCATATCGCGGGAAGCTAGGCAAGGCGAGCGTGCAACTCGTCGGTTCCCAGCGAAATCATGAAAGTATAATAAGCCCTGCTCTCCGGCTCCTGCGAACCAGACTTTCATCCGATCGGCCCATTATCTCGGATTAGCCCGTTCGATGTTAATTGTAAACAGACAGACGCGGGGATGTGGAAGAACGGCTGAGGATTACGAGGAAACGATCCAATCTCCGTGATCTTTCCCAGGAATCTAGCCCAGAGGATTGCCCCCGTCTCTCTCTACCGCTCGAAACAATGCGTTCGCAAAGGTACCAGTGTCTCTCTGCCGAAACGACAAGACGAGAATCCCGTTTATCGCTAACTGCTGTCAAAGGTCAAAATCCCTTTGAATACTCGAGATATCGATGAATCGATATCAGTAGATAACGAATCGGTGATGAATTTCAACCTTCTCTTCGTATCGTTTCGCAAGCTCGAGAGACTGATTCACGAGATCGATCAGCGATTCGCTGTTCGTCCTCGCGGGAACTGCGCGTAGGTGGATCTATATCGAAACTCGCGTCGCTTTCGCGGAAGAGC